AGTTTGAGAAAAAAGATCAGGATACACATTTACTGCAGCTGTCATCTTTAAATAAATGTAGCTGATTCAAACAGTGTTGCTGTCTGCATTTATCCTTTAAAACGAAATAGTTTATGCTTTGAGAAAACCCTTCACAATTTCTAATATCCATAACTAGAGGAGAAAATAATCTGTTTTGATTCTGTAGCCAATATTTCTATTAGGATTTAATGTCATAAAGTGATCAGTCTCCTCTGATAAGCAGTCAGTGTCATATTTTACCACCTTTTGCTCACATAGTTTGGGCTCCGTTCCTGGAATGGAGTGAGTTCAGCCGAGGCTTTCGAGGGACGAATTAAGGTGTCACATTTCTCTTTCTTTCTCTCTACTTCCTTGTTAAAACCTGTCGGATCAGCTGGGTGTGGGTCGTCGTGTTTGCAGTTGGGTCTGCAGCGGCAGACGCCGCGTTCCCAACTCTCACAAACGGTTTCATCACGGCGTTTGCTAAAGAACAGAGCCGCCTCTGTGCTTCAATAGATGCAAAGTATGGAAACACATGTTGATCAAATAAAAACAGCCTTTAGCTGGTGATAAATGTGCGGGGGGGGGCGTGCTTTTGTGTGTTTTAAAATGTGAGGGAGCAGCAGGTTATGAGAAATTCCTCCGAGAAGAGAACGTTTTTTACTCGGCGTGTTTGTTTGTTTCTCCAGCTCGAAGCCTTTGCCTTGGAGCGAAGCCAGGATGCGGTTGACTTAAGCCAGGAGAATGCGTCGAGGTAATTGCGCCACAGTAAACAAACTGACTGTCCCAGTATGATTTTTTTTACATTTTTTTTTATTAGTGTTGCTGCTGTGTTGTTGTTTCTGCAGGTTGGGGCTTCAGGACAGACTAAAGGTTTATCATATGGACGTTATAAAAGGTATAAAAACACAGACTGAGACAAAATGCTGCGTTTTTCTCTAGTTAACCAGACTTACCAGGTTCTGCTCTCTAATGCTTTTTCAGATGCAGAAAAGATGCCAGGTCTGTTTAGCTCCATTTCAGTGCTGGTCAGTAACCCTCCTTACCTGTTTTCAGAGGACATGGCAACCCTGGAGCCGGAAATTACTAGGTGACCTGCAAACAAGTCTCTGCATTTGCATTTGAAAATGTTTAAAAACCGATTCCTGAAGCTTCTCACAGGCTGACGCAGCTGCTCTCTGGAAATCCATCCGACACAAAACAAAAGACAGAGATCACAAACTCGAGGCCCGGGGCGGGGGCCAAATCCGGCCCGCCACAGCTTTTTATGTGGCCCTCTAAATTCCAGCTTAAACATTAAATATGCTTAAATATTATGTTATCAACCAAATCAATGGAGTTTTTATCAGTTTATTGCCAATTTATATCAAGCAGTCCCTCCAGTTTCTTGTGAATTGTTGTGGAAATTCAAGCAAAAACCAAATCCCAGCACTTGCGCTAATAATTGGTGTTTTATTGCAGATTTTTCCCAAAAATGGTCAAAAACTTTCTTACTTGTACTAAACAGCTGCCTGAGCCTTAATTGGTGTTAGATATGATCTATACATCGAGTAATAAAAAGTCATAAATAAGCACAAGTATTTCCAAATTAGTAGCACAGACACTTTGTTTTTTATTGCAGAAAATCACAAACCAATCGCGAAATCCTGGAGGGACTGAAAAGATGTTCAATGTTATTTAATTTTAAGAACTCATTGGTATTTTTGACGGGTTTTATCAACACATTCTGGCACAACTGGCCCGTTAAGAGCATCCATGATGTTGATTTAGCCCAAAGCGAAAATGAGTTTGACATCGATCGCTGACATAGACACTTGATTCTAGATGTACAAGAATGAAGCAAACAAATCAGTTCAGTTATAGATTTCCATTTGTCAATAAATACCTAGAAATCAGATCATCTGTGTTCAAGGACATGCGTTTAAATTATCAGCTGTTTGTCCTGATAGACGAACTAATAAATAGCATTTACAGGTTTTTGTGCTGCTGGAGACACGTCAGATTTAGTTCATAAAAAATGAAACCGTCCAGCCAAAGCTGAGCAACGCGCGCTAACCGCTGTGGACAGAGCAGATTATCATCCATAATTTATCAGCAGATTATCTGCTCAGGCAGAAACTGCTGAAGTCAGGGAAAAAAATAACCTTTATTATTTTAAATCTCAGGATGACTTGGGTAAAAATGCAAGTAAGGGATCATGTTTGAGTTTCCAGACTTATTGTTTAAAAGATAAAACAATCTGTGTTACGCTGATTTATATTTTCTGTGTTTGAACTTTGATTTTCCAGATCGCAGCTCCAGTTAAATGTTATTTTCAGTTTGAGTTTCTGACTCAGATCTTGTTCAAAAATGAATAAATGAGACAATTTGAAGCGTTTTTAGCATCTGGGCAACGTTAAGGGTTTTAATTTCCACATGGAAAACTCCAGGTGGGATTTATTTTTACTTTCAGGGCTGAAACGATTAATCGGGTTTATCGATTATTGAAATAATCGCTAACCAGTTTAGTAATCAATTAATCATTGTCAGAGGATAAAGTCTCTAAAAATTAATATTTGCTGAAAAAATAAAATGCCCTGTAATTAGGACAGAAATGTTGACTTTTTGTACTTGAAATAAAAATAAAATGCATTTTTCTGTAAATATGTTTTATCATAAACTCCTCGAGTTGCACAGATTTAACTTCACCTGGTTGAAAGAAAAACAAATGTTGCTATTCAGCTGATAATCAGTTAATCCAATAATTAATCAACAGATCAGCCGTATCAATCAAGTCAAGCAGTCAAGAATAAAAGGCTGAGATTTCCACATCTCAGCCTTTTTATATTTTTATGATGCACCTTTTGCTGGAAAGTATTACATTTTATTTAAGAAAGGATTTTATTTGTTTTCATTGCATTTCGAGTTTTGTTTAAAAAGGCTTAAAAAGGAAAATCTACAGAATGTGCCTTTTTAAAATCATTTTAATAATCAGACTATTCAATTGATTTATTGATTACTAAAATAATCATTAGTTTACTTGATAAGAGCCCAGTTGTTTCTCTGCAGAGTTACCCTGAGTTAAATCTGGGTTTTATTCACTAAACTTGTAGCGACAGACGTCTGGATTTCAGTTTTGCTCCGTTTTCTGTTGGTCTGTCCAATAAAATCCAGAATAAAAATGTGTTTGGGTTGTAAATATGTTGATAACCTGGTGAATGAGTCCAGTGAGCGGCTGCATGCTTTCCTGCTGTCCTGCTTTGTGAAACGCTGCACATAATTAAACGCTGCAGCTGCTGCAGCTGCTGCTGCTGCTGCTGCTGCAGCAGCTGTTGCTGCTGCTGCTGCTGCTGCTGTTGCTGCAGCTGCTGCTGTTTTGTTCAGGGTGAATCAAAACTGTAGTAAAAATTAAAATAGAGTTTAGAAATTAACTACACTGAATTCATTCAGCCAAGAAATTTGTTTCTGATCTGACATTAAACAGTTAAGCAGCTGAGACTTTGACCATCTGAACTGGTCGATGTTTTATTTTAAGGGTTTCGTGTTTCCTCTGGTTCTCAGCATTTTGGCTGATTTACGTCCAGTCAGAGGAAACATGTTGGTAGAATTAAAAGATTACTTATTTTGGTGAAGGCTGACGAAAACTGCTCGAGTGAAGGAAATAAAAAAAATCAATTTCAGATGAGTTGGAAAGAAATTCATGGACACGGAAACGAAGGATGTCATCATGTCTGTAACTGCATCATGTTTTAGTTTTAATGAAAGGACGACATAGCTCCAGCTAGTTAATGAAAATGTTTTCTCAGTTTTAATAACTTCGGTGTTTTCCAGGTTTGAGGATCGCGCCGCCTTAGATGGAGGTGAAGATGGACTAAATGTGATCAGACAGATTTTAACTCTGGCTCCAGACGTTCTGTCAAACAGAGGGTAAGGCAGCCAACACACACACACACACACACACACACACCTGGGTTTAATTCCTAATGGCACCTTGACGCAGAACGGGCCCTCTCTGAAAAACACGCGTATCATGTTGCGTTTTTAACGGGCTTTCTGCAAGGCGTCCCCTGAACCCAGTTCCAGGCAGACGCTGCCTCCTCTCAAGGTCACCCGCCGCCCGTAATCCTGTTGTGTTAATTTGATTTTAAGCCTTTTTCATCTCTATCCTCCCTTTGATAAACAACAGCCGGGTTTACTTGGAGGTGGACCCCAGACACCCCGCGCTCATTCACCGCTGGGTGGAGGACAACGTGGAGGAGCTGCGGTTCGTGGAAACACGGCAAGACGTCAGCGGCAAGTGAGTGCTTCAAAAAGAGAAACACAAATTCAGAGTATTTTAGATTCAAACTGGGAGAAGTGTGATCTAAATCTTTGCTTTTGGTGTGTTTTTGCTTCCTAGGCCTCGTTTCTGCATCCTCCAGAAAGAGGAGTCACATAAGGCCCCCGAGGTGGATGAGGATTGAGAAACCCAGATCCTATTACGCTGGCTTTAGCTCAGGTCGCCTCGGCTCGCCCCCCCACACCTGACCCCATCTCCTCAAAATTAACAACTTCACACAAATAGTTTCCATATCGACGCTGCACTTTTAACCCGTCGACAGACAGCGAACACGCCCCGTCTCGCAATAAATAAAAAAAAAAGAGAAATGTGTGTGTGCGACGGCACAAAGCAGGCTCAGAGCTGAAGGTAATTACCAAAGCTTTTCTTAGAACGCTCCCTCTCAGAATCCGCCTCTCTCCTCCCAGGAAGCATTCAGTAGTTCTGTGAATCCGCTGATGAGCAGTCCTCCCCCTTCGCTCGTCCACCCCGCTGACTCAGATGCTGACCAGATTGCACCGTTGAGCAAAAAAAACACGCTCAAAACACGGTCCGAATTCAAGCTCAGAGGCCACACAAAGCCTTTGTGTCACAAAGGTTTTATGTGGTGAAAACATTTCACAACGACGAGCGTCACAAGAGCCGGCAGCATGTGATTGTTAGTGGTGGGGAGTTGTTGAAATAACTGGATTTTAAGCAGCACAGAAATTGTAAGTTCCAGTTTTAATAGAAAAAAAAATTACACATGTAAAAAGTACAAAAATGCTTTTGCTGAGAAAAATAAAATGGCATGAAAGACGTCTCAGTGAAATCAGTGTCATTTCTTAACCAGTATGTACATCCAGAAGCGGCGGCGTCCATGTTTGAGGAGCCTACAGTACCGACCTCCTGCTGTCCACAGGAGGGTTAAAGTCTGAACCCAGACACGTCAGAACGTCTCTGTGACTGGCCTCTGCAGGTCCAAACTACCTGCTGCGCAGCGCCTTCTCCTCCTTCAGCGTAAACTGGGTCAGTCCAGCTCCGCTCCTGCTCACACCTTGAAAGGATAGTCCTGCAGGAAGCGCAGCAGCGGCTTGGGGAGCGGCAGCTGCTCCGTGGCGGCGCTGTGTCTGTTGATGATGAGGCGTGTCAGGTGCTGCAGACTCGGGAGGTTCTGTGGTTTGTACACGGCCCGCTTCAGCTTCAGTACCACCGACGCCTCCTGGGCCGGCGGCTCGGAGGGTTTTGCCGGCGCCGCCTGCTCCTCCGCCCTCCGCTCCTCTGCTTTCCGCTCCGCCCCCATGTAGTGCTGCACCAGGCTGGGGACGTTGGGGAAGGACGAGAGGCTGGCCCGCGCCCCGGAGCTGGAGTCCAGCAGGAACTGGGCGCCGCTGTACTGGATCCGGATGCTGGTGGGTCCACGCGCCGTCCTGACCGACAGGGTCAGCATGTACAGGGGGTGGCTGCTATCCCGCAGCAGAAAGGCTCCCTCCGGGGCGTCCTGCAGGGCGGCGTGGGCCTGGGCTGCAGTGATGGCTCCCCAGTACCAGCCTGCACACAAACCATCACATTATGAACAGTTCTGCTCTGACGAACACAAAAACACTGCAGAAAATCTACCAAACAGTGGATTAAATGACAATTTCACTGATTTTACACGTTTTTACTGCACAGAAAAATAAACAAAACAAGAAAATTATTAAAATGAACATAAAGCAAACTCACCCCGTCATCAATTAATCACATAAATTAAAATCAACTCAATAATTTACATTCTGAAGATTATTTATTTATTCCCAGTTGTTATGTTTCTTCTAGAGTTGCTGCTTTTTAAAAGTTTTGTGCTTTATTCTTGGAAAATGACTTTAACATGAACTCTGATTCTAATTCTGATATTTTGTTTACAGAAAAAGAAACAATCCATTTTATTGATGGTTTCACTTGAATCGAATTTGTTTTCCACGAAGTGGGCAATGCAAATTAACTAACATGAATACATCATGTAAACATGCCAGATTCAGCCACAGAGGCTAATTCTCATCTTTGATGGTTTTTGGTGGGTTGTTTTGTTTTCATTTGAATATTTATATTATCTTCCAGTTACAGTATCAACTGTTGTTTACAAAATTAAAATGTATTTGTCTTTTCAGAGCATTTATCAATACACAACTTGAAAACTGTCTTAAAACAGCAACATTGTGGTTTATCACAGTAAATAAAGGTACAATTTATCATCCAGGTGAATATGCAATCATGATAAGCCAAACAAAAATATCCATCTTGTGACTGGAAGACCTTACCTGAATTTTCTAGGTAGCAGAAGTTGCTGGCAATCGCCCGCAGGTCCTTGGTGGGGTCCCATTTTGGGGGTTTGCTCTGAAAGCACGGGGCAATGGCGGCTGTTCCCTCCCGCATGCCCCACGGGGCCTGAGAAGATGGAGCAGCAGGGAGAAGAGACCTGAGTCTGGGAAAAGAAACGAGAAGAAAAAAACATGGGAAATTATTATAACTGGCACAGACAAACCCTTCCATAAATAAACCAGGCGTTACACGTCCAGGCTTTCATTAAGGGCCACATTTTGACCTTTTGTTCCCAGATAATTTTGGCTTTATGGCGCCATGTGGTACGAGAGAAATGTTTTATTTGAACGTCTGTATTTGTGTTAATTAGGAGGAATGTTAAATTTAGTCAACTCTGTTCTAGACATGTTAATCACGAAGGAAAATACAGTTCCTATTTATTAATAATCAGGGTTGTTGCTTTACATTTATATATAAATTTATAACAATTTTTACAATTTTGCTTTTATGACACGGCATTTTTGTCTTCAAATATCAAATTAACACACACATATGTATAAATTTGTAATTATATTTTAAAATAAGCTCGGTTCAACGATGTTATTTCTTTAAGTGAGGCGCTTTCGTGGCTTTATTTGTTTTAATTGCGCCTTTCTAATAAACTTGGGATCCAGTTTAACCCGAAAAACGCTTCAGTGCGGAGAAACATCCAGGACAGATTTGTTCTCAGATATGCGCACAGGCGTGAAAACAGCGAAAACAAAGAAAAGTCTACTCACCCTCGTTCACAAAGAATCATACTATAAAATCCTCCGGGGGAAAAATACTATTTGTTGTTTGGATTCAGAAAATAAACACAAAAAAAAGAGAGAGATTCGCGATATGCCTGTAGAGACAGCTGTCTTTCTATTAACAGAAAACAAATCAAACCTGTAGTATCGGTTTTACGTAAAAAGGCAAACACGAAGCCGACCAGGATATGTTGCTGTCATGAACGAGAAAAAAAACGCCACTTCCCCGGTGCGAAGCGGCGCAGGTTAAAGAAATATGAAGCGACTTTTCTCTCAAAAAGCTCGGTCCGGCGGCGGCGGCAGCGGTTCGGAGTGTGTTGTTGCCAGACTGAGATCCAAATGTGTGAGGGACAGAGGCTAAAGGATCGGCTTTTAAAATTTACCGTTTCCTAGAAGTCGATTCTGAGAACTCCTCACAGAACCCTGCGGCTCTGACGTCACCGCGTCTGCCGCGTTCGCCGCTCCCGTTCGCTCGCCGCGTTCGCGTCACGACGTGCATGCGGTAGTATAGAAGGCGCAGGATTTATGGCAGGCCGTTTTAACATAAGTTCGGCCTGGAATCGGATACCCTGATTGCAGATAAGTGAAAGATAATTCCTTTTATTCTCGTTGTGCGCGAAAGAAAGCGCAACAAATTTTAAAATATAGAAACTCTCGATGACAAACCAAATAACTGAATAATAATAATAATAAGTATATCTCAATAAATATAAAAATATAGCAGAAACAACTGGGAAGTTAAGGAAAAAATAAATAATTGATGATCAGGTTTTAGATGATCATCAATTCATCAAGCTTGAGATATCTTGAAAGAAATTTTGATTCGCTAAAACATAATTGAAGATATAGTAAATTATTATTCTTACAAGTCAGATCATAATGTACGTGCAGATATTTCACATTATCACTCCGGATTTAGTCAAAACTTTTTAGACACCTAGAATGTAATTGACATGACTCTGGCTCTGTCAATCCTCCGGCAATCATTTAGGGGGCTTTTGAGAGCAACTGACCAATCAGCGGTCGCAATTTGTCCTGAAGTACGCGCCCCTTGTCTGGAGGAACTGAACCGCCGACAACATTCAAAGTGTTTACCTTAGCAGACACGCTGTTTTTACTCAGATTTAAAGGAAAATAATAGGAAGTTATGGGCCAACATTGTCAATATGCAATCCCAACAGCTGTTATCCAGAGTGTATAGAGGGCGGAATATAATTTATTACATTTCCAAATCCCAAACTGAGTCTGAAATAATGCAAGAAATGGATCAAGGCCTGCAGCTGACCTCATTTCCAGTTGAATGAAACTGTGGTTAATGGCAACTTCCACACGTTCTGCAGAAGGTAACTGGTCGTAAACATCCCATTTTTTTGTCATAATGACACTCATTGATAGTTAAGCTAGTGTTGCTTGATTCTATTATGTGTGTAAATTCCAATGGTAGCTCTAAGGCAGCATAAAAACGTGTGCTGCAGTAACTGTGGTATTTCCAGTTAAATACCAAATGAGGTTGCGAGGGGAGGGGTGCTAGTGCCTATCTCCAATGGTCAACAGAAGAGAGGCGGTGTACAACCTGGACAGGGCTGCTACTGATAAGCATTTTCCGGAGAGCAGATTTTATTTAAATCATTACTCACCCCGTTTTGTATGTTCAAAATGCACCCAACTGTGTTCACACTCACAGTCAATGAGACTTTGTGTCCCTCAGCATTTTTACTCTTGGGCTTCATCAGTGATTTCACTGTTGTGTCCCGTTAATGGTAGACCTGGTGTAGGACTTGTTAGAGAATTTTCTTGCCTCAGTATTGGCTGATAAGGCAAAAGTGACTGAAAAAAATGTTCCTCTACCTCTGTTACTATAATAGTTTGTTTGCCGCGGTTTGCTCTACTTCAGCATGGGGCCTCCATGTCAATTGTGGATAGTCGGTTGAAACCGAATTTATGTTAAAACGGCCTGCCATACACATTCGCCTCTCTCTCTCTTCGCCTCTGTCCTCCTCTCTTCCTGGTGTCTCGCGCGGCTCCGCTCTCTTCGCTGGAGGACGGGCGCGCGTGTCGCTCCCGGGAACCGCGCGGCAGTTTCTCCCTACCGGCTTTCCAGGAATGATTGCGGGGCCTGGCTCCGCCCCGCCGGGCGGCCCTGACAGAGCCCTTATTCTGGGAATTCACCGCCTCGACATTAAAGATAATAGGAATGCGCTCAGACTATTTCCATTTATATAGATTTCCCTCGATCCTGTTTGGAAAAATACGGCTGGAGCTTTTCACGGAACTTCAGAGCAAATTACGTTCGCGAAAACAGGTTGTTGTTGTAACAATAACCTGAAAAACGGCCTGAAGTCTACTTTTAGGCCGAGAAAATGTCGTTTACGTTGTAATATGTGCCATTTTGTGGATTTTATTGTATTATGGTTTATGTATTAACACGTGTGACCCATTCCTGGAATGATTTAGGACTACTCAAAGTGCTCATTTTATCTCTCCTGACATTCCCTGCTAGGTAATCTAGGATATTTAATCTTCTACAGTAGACACCCACTATTATTTACACTGTATCAAGCTAAATAAGCCCCAGATAGATTTGTTCCTGCTGGTTTAATTCTTTTATCCATATATATTCATTATGTTTTCTGTATTTTTCACTAAATAATGTTCTTTTTGGCTGGATTTTTCTCTTTGTTGTTATAAATGAAGGCTCCTGTTGGTTGTGTATTTAAAACATTTTGCCTGTAGACGTGTAATATAGTGGATTGAAGCTCAGATGTAGAGCGATATTCATAAAAGTCTCCTGACCTCAGCGAGAGGAATCTCAACCTCTTCCCAGGAATGTGGGAATGAGTGTATTTCTAAGAAGTCTTGTGGACTTTATCTATCCCTTCTGGATGTCACTGAGCAAATATTTTCTTTTGTGGTTCACAAAGGAAAAAGAACATTAACAAATGGGGACAATGTACTTACAACCTCCAAAAAATAAAAACATTTAGAAGAATGTGGCATGGTTGACTTTAAATGTGCTCCGTTTGATAAAATCTCAGATTTAATCCTGATTACACCAGCTTAATGTTACATGTCTGAGTGAGTACGGTTAGATTTGCTTGTGCTCACATGACAATGATGTCCAGAAGTGGGAGATAAGCAGAGCACCTCTGCACTTTAGGTTCAACCAGGATGTTTTTTGATTGTTTTTTCTGCTCTGAGCTCCCTGCATGTGGACAAACTTTCTTTTTACTCCTGAAAGTAGTTTCTAGAAAGTCAGCAGGCAGCAAAAACAGAGCTCATAAAACGCTCCTCCGTCTTAAATTGTCTTCCTGTCCGTGAAAATATTTAATGTGCTTTTCCTGGAAGACGGAAGGAATCTGGCTGCAGCAACCTAAATGTCAACATCTGCTGGGTTTATTGTCTAGCTGCTTGAATCGAGTTAAAACAGCAGGTAACAGTTACAGACTAATCATTTCAGACCTGAAGCAAAGGCCCCGGATCGCTTTTTGTTCTACAATATACGCAGTTCTTCCAGGTTTGCAGGATGTTGTTACATATTATATCTTGATTTATGTTTATCCTCATGCTGTTCAAGTGGATCCTGATACAATTAATGATATCTGAAACCCATATTCTGAGAAAATTGGAATATTGCATGAGATAAATTAAAAATAGAGCCGTGCTACTGTACTGGAGACGTGCATCGACTTGATGGACATTGGGCAGGAAGAGACAACTTCCACGAGTTAGGGTGAGCAACAAATTTGCTTGTTTACAAGAATATTAATAGAAAGTTGAGTGAAAGGTAAAAGTGTAATCAAAAGAATGATGTACATGCAAAGCAGCTAACTGCAACTTTGTTATTGTGTGTGTAATAATAACCTTTATTTCTGTTAATTATGATTATTTTGCACTTGCAAGCAGTGAAAACATGACATTTAAAAGTAGAATATTGCAGCAAAACTAACTATTTTCAAGACAAATGTGGGATTGATGAAACACGTGTTTCATACCTGCTTCAAGGTTGAAGGTTGAAATCCAGTTTCTGAGAAACTTTAGTATTACGTAAGACAAATTAATAAACATAGGCGCGTTGTTGTAATGGAGACATGTGCTGACTTGATTCATATCCAGCAGACAAAGACGACTTCCACAAGGAAGGCTGAGCAACAAATGGGCCATAAAAGCTGCTTGTTTACAAGCATGTTAGAAATTTGAGTGGAAGGTAAAAGAGTGGTAAGAAAAAATGATGCACATGCAAAGGAGGTAACTGCAGACTTGTTCATTTGTGTGTAAGAATTCAACAAAAACACTGAATAATACTGAAAATATGTTTATTTTTGCAACTTTTTCACCAAGTAAAACACATTATATAAGTTAAATAAACACAGATGGATGTTTGAAAGCCTTTATTTCTGTTAACTATGATGGTTTTTCACTTTCAGGTGATGAAAATATGACATTTAAAATTAGAATATTATGTCAAACCATCAAAAAAAACTATTTTTAATGAAGAAATGTGAGATTAATTATGCACATGTTTAATACCCGTTTGAATGTTGGAATCCATCCTCTGAGAAATTTGAGTATTACATAAGATATATTTAAAAATAGAGACATGTTACATTCCAGCCCAGACATGGAGACAAATGTCAACTTGATGGAAGTACGGCTGAGCAACAAGGGGTCATAAGAGGTGCTTGTTTTCAGGCACATTGTTAGAAAGTTGAGTGGAAGGTAAAAGTGTGGTAAGAAAAAAATTATGTACATGGAAAGGAGGTAACTGGAGACTTGCCATGTATATAGTAATATAGAAACATTCAATAACTGAATAATACTGAAACACTAATTTATTTTACATAATGTGTCTAAAACACATTACATAATATGCTTATATAATGTGCTTTATGAAGTAAAACAAAGTTAAATACACACAGATGGATGACTGAAAGCCTTTATTTCTCTTAATCATGATTGTTTTTGACTTACAGACATTTAAAATTAGAATACTACATCAAACTATTAGAAAAAAAATCATTTTTAATATAGAGATGTGGGATTAGTGAGACACATGTTTGATATTTGTTCAAAGGTTGCTATTTTTAAAAGGCATTTGTAATCTGACAAACAGGTTTACCTGAATGCATATTCTAATTTATTGCATATGACTGCAAGTTTTACACATTTCAGTTGAAATGCTGAGTATTTTCCAGTGACGTTCAGATAAATTAAGATGCATTTTATTTTGT